GAAATATCAACAACCTCAGATATGCAGACAATAGCACTCTGATGGCAGAAAATGAGGAGGAATTAATGAGGGTGAAAGAGGAGAGTGCAAAAGCTCAACATAAAAAAAACTAAGATGATGGCCACTGGTCCTTTCACCTTGTGGCAAATAGAAGGGGATGGAGGCAGTGACAGATTTTATTCTCTTGGCCTCCATGATGAACTGCAGATGGTGACAGCAACCACAAAATTAAAAGACGCCTGCTTTTTGGAAGGAAAGTGATGACAAACCAAGATAGCATCTTAAAAAGGTCCACATAGTCAAAGCTATTGTTTTTCCAGTAGTGATGTATGGAAGTGAGAGCTGGACCATAAAGAAGACTGACCACCATAGAATTGATGCTTTTTAATTGTGGTGCTGGAGGAAATTCTTGAGAGTCCCCTGGACTCCAAGGAGAACAAGAAGGACACATCCTGAAGTTGAGGCTCCAATACTTTGGCCATCTCATAAGATGATAAGACTCCTTAAAAAAGACCCTCATGTTGGGAAAATGTGAAGGCAAGAGGAGAAGGGGGTTGGAGGGTGTCATTGAAGCTACCAACATGAATATGAACAAACTCCGGGAGGCAATGGAAGACAGGAGGGCCTGGTGTGTTCTGGTCCATGGGGTCACGAAGAGTTGGATGTGACTTAATAACTAAACAACAACCATGATAAAGTCTTATATCAACCAAAGAATCTTGAGGGAAGGAGTTCAGAACACTGAAGAGGAATTTTAGAGCAGCAACCAAGCCCTTTGGTTATTACGTGATGTATGAACCTGGTCTTTCTCAAGCTAGTGCCCCCAACTACTTGGCTTGTAATTTCCAGAATCCCCTGCCCAACTGGACTGTAAGACTCTTTGGGTTGAAGTCAAACATATCGATAGAGCATAAATATAAGGAAGGCTGCCCCAATACATGCAGAGCAATGGCGGTGAATTTTTGCAGATGGTTACTAGTTGTGGGCAAGTTCCATTATCAATCTAATTAAGTAAGACCTGACAAGCTTCCAAGAATTCCATTGTTTCTTCAGAACACAGTATGAAAACTGAAACTGTGCTCCCATTTATACTCCACCCTTTGTCTCTTGTGGTCTTAAAGGACAAGCCAGCACTGTCTCAGTTCTTACAGTTAATCAACGTTATAACTAATAACAGGTGAGATAAGATTTATAATGAGCTCACATCTGTAAAAGCATGTCCTCTACTAAATATCTGCATCTGGGATTTTAATCATTAACTTTCCCCCTATTATTAGTGGGGGAATAAAAGTATAAGATCCTACACATCACCCAAAAGAACTCCCACTGATTATAACACTAGCAAAATACTGAACCCAACAGGATAATTGATTATCATCATTCCTACAGTGAAGGAAGTTCTGGAAAGACGCACGATCCACTTCAATGTATTCCACCTCCCAACCTGTACAGTGAAAGCTATAATAATCCTTGGCACACTTGTTTTGCAAACAGAAACCTTTCATATCATACCAGCAGCATAACTGCTAACTGCATTTCTCTGGTACCTTTTCTGCCTTTAAAAAAAAAAAGGGGGGGGGGAGACTCAAAGCACCTCAGCATTCAAACGCTGCAAAAGTATCAATATAGACATGGGGGGAATGAATTGTCCCTTACCCCACCCACTCCCAATCGTTAAAGGATAGCCTGGCACACAAACCAGCCCTACAATACCACCTGTACCAGGGGCAAAATATCTTTGGAGCCCAAACTAACCAACCCCCTTTCCCTTGTGCCATGGCAAGTTAGCTTTGGGCAAAAGAGACCTTTAGTCAAACACTGCAGGGCAAGTTTTTATGGCCTCCTTAGTCATTCACACCCCTCCCTACCAAAGCAAGTGGGCATTTCAACCTCGCCCTGCTGGCTAGTGGCCCATCGGAGCTGGCTACTCGCTTGTCAAACAGAAACAAACACACTCTGGACCTCTTGCCCGCGTAGGAACACAGAGTTCCCCGGTCTGGCTCTCACCCAGGCTGAAGGAAGGCGCTGTGAGCAGTCGTCGTCGCGCCCCACCTCCGTGCAGAATCCCGCCGACGGCTGAGGTCGGTTCGGTTGCAGAAGGTATTTATGCGGGCGGCGGGCCCAGGCGTGGCAGAAGCGTGATTGGCAGGCGTGGAGGCCATTGGTCCGGCCGCAAAAAACACAAAGAGAGGCCCGCCCCTATTGGACAAGGACGCTGATCCCTAGGGACAGAGGTCGTCCAGCGGAGAGTGCGTTGCATGTTGGGAATTGGAGGCCGAGGGTTCAGAACAGGCGAAGTGGGAAAGGAGTGGAGAGACCCTTTGAATGACATTGGATAGACGCATTTTGTGTGTGTGTGTGTGGGGGGGGGAATCCTGTGCATGTTCCCTCAGAAGTAGTGGGTCCCTCTGACTTGACTGGAACTACCTCTCTAAAATGAAATTACCTGAGAGTAAGGCACACTGAATTTAGTGGGGTTTATATCTAGATGATAAGTGTGTGATTGCATTTAGACTTATAGACAAGATTTATTACTAATAAATTATTACTAAAGCATCCAAGCCCAAGAATAATTATTGGGATTTTTTAGGGTATAAAAACTCTCATATACATTGTTATTATTGTTTGGCAGTGTACAATTCACTTTGTCACAGACATAGTTAGCTTCTTTCTTGAATCTTTCAAAAGGACTGAAAGGTCTCAGCCAGTGTCCTCTGCTGGATAAAAACTGAAACTCCAGCTAAATTTGAGACAGACTTTCAAGTACAGTACACAGTACTGTAATCTCTCCCACTGTAAGGTTTTCTTCTAACCTTAACTAATCAATGCAGTTTGTTAAAATCCCTATCTCCTGATATATCCCGATTCAACATTTTAATAGAATGATCACCTGATAAAATAAGTATTAATAAGTAAAAAATTAATGGGACAAAATATCTTACAACCTGTTCTCCCAGACTCAAAACAAGCTGTATGAACTGAAGGAAATCTAAATCTTTCCAAACTGACTTCAGAATTTTCTCCGTGTTCAGACAAACAACCATTTAAGAAGGCTGAAAATAATAATTATGTGCCGTCAAGTCAATTCTAATTTATGAATTATGTCTCTTTTCAGGGTTTTGCAGGTAAAAAAATACTCAGAGATGGCTTCCGATTTCCTTCTTCTGGGGCCATCCTGGGACTGTGCAGCTTGGCCAAGGCCACACGGGCTGGCTGTACTGGCAGGAGGCACAGTGGGGAATTGAACTCACAAACCTTGGCTCTGCAACCAGAAACTTAACTCTCTGGGCTATCCAGCCAGCTAAGAAGGTTGCTGTCTTCAACCTTTCCCAGCGTTGTTGTCTTTTTCAGAGAATCATGTCTTCTCATGGTGCACCCGAAGTAGGACAACCACAGTTTCACCATTTTTGTCTCCAACGATAGACAATTTTGGTTCAATTTGATCTAGCACATACACTGTACAGTACTTTGAAGACCCTAGTATGGTCACCATAGGTTGGATGCAATTTTATTTATTGTTTATTAATGTCACATTTATCCCAAATGAGATTTAAGAATTTACTCATCATGTAATCCTGTAATTTCCACTGAAAAGTAAATTCTGTTTCTTCTGAGGTGGAACAGCAAATGCTGCCACCTAATACCCAGTGTCACAGAGCATACTAACCATTGTTGGCTCTATGATTTGGGCATGTGGGACAGAAAATGGTTAAATGGCTGGGCTGGGGTTTTGGAGATCCAGGTGCAGGTGACTAAGTGAACCATGAAACTCATTTAGGGATCATGGGCCAGGCACTCCCTTTCAGCTTGATCTGCCTCACAAGATTGTACTGAGGATCAAATGACGAAGAGCTAGGTAGACCAACCTGTTGGAAGAAAAGGAAGTTAGAAATATAATTAATGACTGAATAAAATCATATGACCACCTATTCCTTAACTTATTTTATTTATTTACTTAATTTCTATGCCACCCAATCTACCCAGAGGTCTCTTAAGCCTTGGATCCTATATGCCTGACAAGTGTGTAGCCCCAGTGGTAATGAAACTTAATTCTGAATACACATAGATATGTATTCATATACTGTATAGGTTTGCATGTTAGATATATAACAGTGCTGGCAAAAGGAGTTCACCTGGAAAATCTGAATATAAAGTAAATCCCATAGACTTAAATTGGCCTTAGTTCCAGGTGAATTGAGAATTACATCGTATTTGGGAATTAAGCCCAGCTGAATTAAATAAGACTTCGTTTTCAGAGCAAATGATACCGTTTAATGGCTTGGATAAGTTACTTTTTGGATTACAACTCCGACGTTACTGGGTGGGATATTCTGGGAGTTGTAGTCACGGAAGTAACTTTTCTGAACATTGCAGTAGAACAGTTCAGAAAGGAAAGCTCGGCCACAGAGACTAGTGAAACGTTAGGAAGAACCACCTTCAGAACACGGCCAAAGAGCCCGAAAACTCCACAACAACCGAAAGCTCAAAAGTTTATCCTGAAAACAAGAGGGGGGGAAAAAACCCGACAAATGTGTCACTGAACATTACACCCTTCGCCTCGAAGTGGAAGTAGAAAATAATTTTGTTTTAAAAGCGGAAATGCAAAGGTGGCGATCGGAAGCCCACTTGCGTTCTAAAATAGATCTAGTTCTTCTCTCCTGCTAACGAACTGGAGATATAGAAAGTCCGCTAGCAGTCTGATTTACTTTTCTCTGCGGCCAACACGACTCTACTTTTCTATCTCTACGCTCTTCCAGAGTTACCTTTAAGGAGCTTTGGTGTTTTGCGCATGCGCGTTTGTTTCTTTTCCGCACCGGTTGCGCTCACGCCGGCACCGCTGGGTCCTTGTGCTCGCGGATTAGTGGCCACGTCTCCCGGAAGATGGATCCGGTTCGCCTTTCCTAGCCTGCGGCCTGGCAGTTGTGCCCGGCGCTCTTTGTCTTACTGCGTCCTTCTTTTCGTCTTTTTGGGCCCGATCTGGACTCTTGGCTTTCGAGGTCGGGGCAGGGGCTGAAACAAACTGGAGCTGAAGGTGAGTAGCGGCCTAAAAAGGACCGGGTGAAGGAGATTGCGATGGAGAATCATAAAGAGCAGGAGAGACATGGTGGGGCTAAATGTAACTTCTTGCTCCCTAGTGGTGGTGGTGATCTCTAGTCCTCAGTTTTGTACAGCGCCCGGCACCTAGAGGTGTGATTCTTCCCTCTTTTCTGGCAACAGGTTCTTGTGACAGGTCGTGATTCAGCAGGTGAAGCTTTTTCTCATCGGGGGACAGCGGTAAGAAGTAACTTTTCCTGGAAGCCTTCCTTTTTCTGTAGCTGGAAAAGGCAAGGGAGCCTACCCACACAAAAAGGTGGCAACTCTACAACGGGCCTGATACTGTCACTAATAATAACTATTACAGACGAAAGTGGTCATTTTGCACAGAAGAGGAAATGCAGAGAGGGATTTAAAAGCGCTGGTGATCTTTAAAAATAGAAATTAGGCAGGCCTGTAAAACCTAGATCAGTAAGGGCTAAAGAGAATAGGCAAACTTCCAGAGTATCGCAGACTGGCTGATGACAGAAATATGCACGGTGAATGTATATAAAGTTCATGCACCAGCCATTTGACACACCCACATGTTTTCTTACTCTTCCCCCCCCCCTCAACAAGGCATGATCTTCCAGTGTTATCAGAAAATCTACCCACAGTGACATAGGTATGCCCAGGGTGCAATTTTTTACAATAATGGTGTCAAGCATTCTCTGTTTAGTGGAAAATCATAAAGAGCAGGAGAGACATGGTGGAGCTAAATGTAACTTCTTGATCGCTATGAAAGTTGGTGGTGATCTCTAGTCCCCATTTCTGTACAGCGCCCAGCACCTAGAGGTGTGATTCTTCCCTCTTTTCTGGCAACAGGTTCTTGTGACAGGTCGTGATTCAGCAGGTGAAGCTTTTTCTCATCGGAGGACAGCGGTAAGAAGTAACTTTTCCTGGAAGCCTTCCTTTTTCTGTAGCTGGAAAAGGCAAGGGAGCCTACCCACACAAAAAGGTGGCAATTCTACAACGGGCCTGATACTGTCACTAATAATAACTATTACAGACGAAAGTGGTCATTTTGCACAGAAGAGGAAATGCAGAGAGGGATTTAAAAGCGCTGGTGATCTTTAAAAATAGAAATTAGGCAGGCCTGTAAAACCTAGATCAGTAAGGGCTAAAGAGAATAGGCAAACTTCCAGAGTATCGCATCGCGGCTGATGACAGAAATATACACAGTTGGTGAATGCTTAGGTCAGTATATAAGGTTCATGCACCAGCCATTTGACACACCCACATGTTTTCTTACTCTTCCCCCCCCCAAACAGGGCATGATCTTCCAGTGTTATCAGAAAATCTACCCACAGTAACATAGATATGCCCAGGGTGCAATTTTTTAAAATAATGGTGTCAGGCATTCTATGTTTAAACATGATCCTGGCATGCTAATCTGTGCCGGTATATCCAGCAAAATCCAAAGAATATTTGCCTGACAGTGAGTTTATGGAGTGTGTTTTTCCTCCAGCAGCGCAGCTGCATCTATCCATTGGAGTGCCTTTGTCCAAATGTGGAGCACAAGCAATGTGGTTCCTGATAGTAGAGAGAAATAGCTGCTGTGATTTGGTTTCTGGTACACCCATTTGCTTAAGATGACAGGATCAAGCTGACTCCATCTATTGACCAGGAAAGGTGGAGTATCAAGGCTGCCTTCCTTGAAGAAAGAACTCTCCTCCAACTGTCAGTTGACCTGAGGCTGCAGAGCTGTATCCCCCCAAAGGCCACCGGGAAGCCACTGCCTCCCAGTAAGATATCAGTCATAGTGAAGGCCTGGTACACCCATTTGCTTAAGATGACAGGATCAAGCTGACTCCATCTATTGACCAGGAAAGGTGGAGTATCAAGGCTGCCTTCCTTGAAGAAAGAACTCTCCTCCAACTGTCAGTTGACCTGAGGCTGCAGAGCTGTATCCCCCCAAAGGCCACCGGGAAGCCACTGCCTCCCAGTAAGATATCAGTCATAGTGAAGGCCTAGTCTCCTATTTGACAGAGAAGAGAAACACTTCCAGAGTATTGCAGACTGGCTGATGACAGAAATATACACAGTTGGTGAATGCTTAGGTCAGTATATAAGGTTCATGCACCAGCCATTTGACACACCCACATGTTTTCTTACTCTTCCCCCCCCCAAACAGGGCATGATCTTCCAGTGTTATCAGAAAATCTACCCACAGTAACATAGATATGCCCAGGGTGCAATTTTTTAAAATAATGGTGTCAGGCATTCTATGTTTAAACATGATCCTGGCATGCTAATCTGTGCCGGTATATCCAGCAAAATCCAAAGAATATTTGCCTGACAGTGAGTTTATGGAGTGTGTTTTTCCTCCAGCAGCGCAGCTGCATCTATCCATTGGAGTGCCTTTGTCCAAATGTGGAGCACAAGCAATGTGGTTCCTGATAGTAGAGAGAAATAGCTGCTGTGATTTGGTTTCTGGTACACCCATTTGCTTAAGATGACAGGATCAAGCTGACTCCATCTATTGACCAGGAAAGGTGGAGTATCAAGGCTGCCTTCCTTGAAGAAAGAACTCTCCTCCAACTGTCAGTTGACCTGAGGCTGCAGAGCTGTATCCCCCCAAAGGCCACCGGGAAGCCACTGCCTCCCAGTAAGATATCAGTCATAGTGAAGGCCTAGTCTCCTATTTGACAGAGAATAATCACCTACAGGAAGCTGCCCATGCCATAAAGATCCTTCTCCTCTGCTTACCTGAATTTGCTTCCTTTCTTTTTCCCTCTTCAGTACCTTTTCCTTTGCTATTATTTCAATTATTGTAATTGTTTTCCTCTTCCCTTTCCAAGACCCTTTCTTTCAACTATAACAAATTTCTCAAAGCAGATGGAAGATCAGAAACTACAATGAACTAATTGTGTGAAATAGATTTCTGTAATTTCTAGGTATATAGCAGCTTGAAGATATGAGCTTCTGCCTATTTATTTTCAGAATATGTTATTTTCAAAACAATAAAGAATCTATTGGCATCTAAAAGGGCAGTGTTTTATCTGGCATAAACTTTTATGAACTACAGCTTACTTCATCAGCTGCAGATGTTGGAATGAGGTGTAAGCAACACAAACTTATGCCAAATAAAATTTGTAGTCCTATAGATGCTGTAATACCCATTGTTGTAAATGTTGTAAATAATCTGTATTCATATTCTTGTCTGTGTGTTGTTAGAGTCAAATAGATGGCACTGTCATTTATAAATATGTAATCATTGTTGTGCCTAGTTCTTCCTTGGGAGAATTTATTCTAACAGTTTAACTTATTTGAACCTATTGTTCTACTCAGCTTCATTGTACATTTTTTTTAAAAAATAGTATGTTTAATTTTGGGGCTTGCCCAACTCCAGTTAATTTCAGTGAGGCCTCTACAAAAAGACTTCACAACTGATTGTGCCCTATGGATCTGTTTCCCACTTGCTTGCCTTTAATAACGTCCCAAATCCATCTCCTGCAGGTGAAATGCATTATTTCCAGAGCATGGAAAAAACTAGTATTGGATTATAGTTCTTAGAATCAGTGCTAGGTGGAGGATACTGGGAACTGTACTAAAAGAACAATAACCTTTTAAATAATTTTAGACAAGATAGCTGTGTTAGTCTGTACAAGCATATCCAGCAAAATCGAAAGAAACAAGATGAGACAAAAAGATGTGGCACTTTAAAGACTAGGCATATCCAGTAAAATCCAAAGAAATAGGACAAGACAAAAAGATGTGGCACTTTAAAGACTATTATGTTTTAATGTGAGCTTTTGTGGATTATGTCCACTTCTTCAAACAAGTGGGGGGGGAAAAAGAAATGCAGAATGAAAAATGGATTGAAGGAGCCTCGGTTTCTTAAGTCAAAAAAAGTCTCATGTCCACTTCTTCAAACAAGTGGGGGAAAAAAAGAAATGCAGAATGAAAAATGGATTGAAGAAGCCTCGGTTTCTTAAGTCAAAAAAAGTCAAAAACATGTGGCACCTTAAAGACTTATATTTTAAGCCAGTGAATGTTTTGAATGTTTTACTTGTGATTTCTTTATTTCATTCTGCATCTCATTTTTTCCATATATCTGAAGAAGTGGACATGATCCACAAAAGCTCATGTTAAAATATAATGGTTAGTCTTTAAGGTGCCACATGTTTTTGTCTTGTTTTGTTTTTTCTTTGAATTTTGCCTGATAACTTTTCTCAGTTCTCTTGTTTGCTTGCTTGCTTGCAATTTGGCATTTGATTTGAGTCTCCCTAATCTAAAATCATGATTGCTTATATATTTATCCCTCCAGGGTGAAAATTGGATGACTGGATTTTGTGTAGTCTTTGACATCAATAATGTCGTGGCTTGCTGAACTGGCTGGAAAGGCAGAGGATCTTCTCAACAGAGTAGATCAAGGTGCTGCATCTGCCTTAAGCAAGAAGGAGGAAGGAGGCAACGTGATCTACAGCAACAGTCGCCTGGATGATGTCGGCGAGTATTCCAGGCTTGAACCACAGAGCAGAGAGCAGCAGTTTCAGGCATCGTCTAAATCCAACTTCATATCCTCAGCAGCAGAAAATATTAAACACCAGAAGGCAACAATCCTAGCAGGGACTGCCAATGTTAAAGCACCACCTAGGGCATCTGTGGAAGCCTCTCCTTCCACTGACATGGCTTCCACTCCCAGGCCCTCTTCCCAGTTTGTGCGAAGGAAAAAATCTGAACCCAGTGATGAGCTCCTGTTTGATTTTCTCAATAGCTCTGAAAAAGAACCAAATGGGAAAAAGGAGCTTAAAAAAGAGAAAACCAGACCGGCCGCTGCTCAAAATCATTCTCGGACTTCAAGCATTAGCTCCGTGTCGGCAAGTTCTCAGAGCTTGAAAACCAGTGAAGATGTTTCCATTCAGAGCCAAGGCAATGGTAGTTAAGCATAGACCAGAAATGTTAAAAGAGAGTATTAAGGAATATATGAATGTATATTATTGGCAAAAGGAACCCAGCTTTGTATGATGACTACATCATACAAATTCTGATTTGGGGTGTGTGTGTGTGTGTGTCTAAAGTAGTGTTGTCTCAGTTTATGGATCTTCAGTTGTGGATTCCTCTTCAGTGTTAATGTCACCACCAGAATGGATTGCTGTAGATCAGTGGCTTCCAAATGTGATTCCCTGAGATTTGTTGAACTTCATATCCCAGAATCCTGTGACTATTGATCATACTGGCTAGAGCAACTGTGAATTGAAATCTAAATTGTCTGAAGAATGGAAGGTTGAGACCAATGTTGTAGATCACCTGAAAGTCTGGCTATCATTTACTAGCAGGATCCTTGGTTATAAATTCATGACAATTGCATGGCTTTTTAAGCTCAGCTGTATAGGTAATTTGCTGTACCAGTTCTGGAACCAAGCCCCTACAGATATGTTGGGTTGTAATTCTTACTATCCCCAGCACCCTAGCCAGGGATCCGTCTGACTGGGGGTTGTCAGAGTTGTGACACATCACACCCAGGAGGTATTATACTGAGGAATGCCGTGCCTCCCCCACTCCCCCTATTCACATACTACTTATAGAGCGGGGAGATAGCAAGCCCAACTTCTGTTTCAAGCTGTGTCGTGTCCAAAAAGGATAATGAGAAGGGTCTTCGGAAAATGGGCAGAAATACCTCCCCCTGTCACAGCTACTTTAGGTAGCATATACATAAATGAATTGGAGAACTGGCTGCTGCAGTATGCACTGCATCTCAACGTGCTTCTTTGAATGCAGCCTTTTGGTTAATTGTTTTGCTAGTGCTAATTGGGTGCCACTGTTTAATCTTTTGATTTCATGTCAAAGGGCAAAAAGTTGTCTTTTTCTTCTCAGCTAATGTTGAGGAGTATAGTAGAATGTCCTTATCCATTTGCTCAGTATCTGCTAATTCACTTATCTGTGGTTGAAAAATGTTAAAAGAAAAATCCTAGAAATATATATTTCTAAAGATGAATTTACGAGAACTGGCCACTAGAGGGGGACAGAGACCAATGCTATGTACATTTGCTATATTGTGCAGTGGTGCCTCGCATTACAAGCACTCCGTTTTACAACGAAATCGCTTTATGTTGAAGGTTTTGTGATCGCAAAAGTGATCACAAAACAATGTTTCCTATGGGGGAATTTCGCTTTGCGACGGTCGGTTCCCTGTTTTGGGAACCGATTCTCACAAAGCGATGATTTTCGGCCAGCTGATCGGCAGTTTCAAAATGGCTGCCAGGTAAAAAACATGGCTCCCCGCTCTTTTCTGGGACGGATTCCTCGCTGTACAGGCAGCGAAAATAGACGCGCTATGGAGGATCTTCGCTGGATAGTGAGTTTCAAGCCCCTAGGAATGCATTAATCGGATTTTAATGCGTTTCTATGGGCTTTTAATTTCACCTTATGACATTTTCATTCTACAACGATTTCACTGGAACGAATTAACATCGTAATGCGCAGTGGTTCTTAACCTTTGTTACTCGGATGTTTTTGAACTGCAACTCCCAGAAACCTCAGCCATCACAGTTGGTGGTGAAGGCTTCTGGGAGTTGCAGTCCAAAACTCCTGAGTAACCCAAGGTTAAGAACCAGTGGTAATGCGAGGCACCACTGTAATCTGCATATAGGGGATGTGCTGGTGCTGCGGGTTAAACCACAGAAGCCTCTGTGCTGCAAGGTCGGAAGACCAGCAGTGGTAAGATTGAATCCATGCGATGGAGTGAGCTCTCGTTGCTTGTCCCAGTTCCTGCCAACCTAGTAGTTCGAAAGCTTGTAAAAATGTGAGTAGATAAATAGATACCACCACAGTGGGATGTTAATGGTGTTCTGTGTTTAGTCGTGCTGGCCATGTGACCACGGAAACTGTTTATGGGCAAATGCTGTCTCTATGGCTTGAAAATGGGGATGAACACCGTGCCCTAGAGTCGGACATGACTAGACTAAATGTCAAGGGCAACCTTTTCCTTTAACTAAAATCTGCATTTTGCAGCATTTGGGAGGGGTTGTCTTGAAACCAATACCCTGCAGATACACGAGTCCTACTGTACTTCTAAGAAAGTAGAGGGGGGTGTGGCTAGTTAAAAATAGCTTCACTTTTAATCCTTAGTTGCCAAGGTACTTGTTGGTGTCCATGCTGGAAACATAATCTTATTTACCACTAAAACAGAATATGCTTTATTTCTCTTAAGCCATGAGATGGGGAGCCTTTGTTACTCTAGTTGTTTTGGACGACAACTTTCAGAAACTAGCCAGCAATGGCCAGTGGATTGTGGGAATTGTAGTCCAGTACATCTGGTGACCCAAAGGCTTCTTACTGTTTCTATAACACCATAATAACAAGAGATTCAGTAATATTGTATTTGTGTAAAGTGGAAACTATCAGGAACCAAGTAGGCAGTGGTTGTTCCTGTTGACCTGCATTTCATCCTTAGGGTGTATTAATTGTACTGGTTCTTCCTGTAATTTCCCAGCAAGCTCTGCTAATTAGGAGGCTTCAGTTAACTGGCTGCTGGTCTCAGTGAATTGTAGAACTCCATAATTCTACTTGCTAATTATTCTTGTTGCACGTGCAGTGTAGGTATTGCCAGCATACATCGGCTGTTAATTTTCTAGCTCTTTGTGTTTTTTTAAAAAAGGAAAAGTCTAATGATCAGTTAAGATGCAAATTGATATTTGAAACTTGGAATTCATTTAGCATCCCTTGGCCATCAGGGTCTGTCTAAAACACTGGCAAGCTTGGGGTAGAAATCCAAGTATCCCATCTGCTAACCAATGTGAGGTGAAATCCTTGACAAATTCTCATGTATATAAAGTTGAAAAGTTCTTTTAAGGAATGGGAGCTGTTCTCTTTTGTAGTTCCTCTCACTTCATTGTGTGGGAATTGTTCCCTGCAGATAGTCTCTTGTGTTGCTGTGTTTCATTACACACCCTGCTATGGTCACGTTGTTTTTTGATGATAGGTTTGCCTGTACAGCTGGGATGAAAATGTTTGGCTTAATAGATGCCTTGGGTCCTTCTGCTGATCATTATCATCTTCATCACCATTATCCATCAAGTCTCGTGGTGATCCTTTTCAGGGTTTTCTTGGTAGTGAATACGCAGAAGTGTTTGCCATTCCCTTCTTCTGGGTGTGTGTGTGGGGTGTTGTCCTGGGACTGTGCAACTTGCCCAAGTTCACATAGGCTGGCTGTGCTCACAGGAAGCACACTGGGGGACTGAACTCCGAAGATCTGGTTCTGCAGCCAGATACCTAAACAACTAAACTGTCCATCCAGCCAGTAGAAAGGTGGGGTATAATTCTCATCATCATAAAAATAATAATCTTAGAACTGCAGAGCTGGAAGGGATCCTATGGATCATCAAGTCCAGCCTCTCCGTTGAGGAGCCACAGTGAGGAATCGAACTGCCAACCTCTGGCTTCGCAGCCAGAGATCTAAACCATTGAGCTGTCTAGCATGATTTAAATAAATAAATATTTTGGACTTCAGTTGTCAGATGTCCCAGTCAACAAGTGATAAGAGGTGGTTGTGTGGATTGTCATTCAAAACATGTTGAAGGGTCAGAGAGCCACCTTTGCTCTACTGGAGAACTGTATTTCAGGACACTTGAGCGCAGTTTCCCAGGTCTGGGGCAGGTGTGGCACTTTCCCTTTCTTTGACACCTCCTACCTTCTTCTGGAGCGCAGGTTGATACTGGGGATGTCAAAAGATGTGTGTATCCTTCCAAAGTTTGGGAGAGAGATAAGTGGCATTCTGATAAGTGGCATACTTGGAGGCTGTGTGTCCCCGATATAAAGAGATGCTCTTGAAGCAGGAGACCACCTCTGTCGGTGGTGTAAATTTGGTAAACGGCAGTGAAATCCAGTTTTGAAGCTCCTTTTTTTCTTAGCACATTGATAAAAATAGATGGAGGATTCTTTTTAAAATATTGTAGGAAGTTCCACACGGACTGAGGGATTCAAAAAGATGTTATTTATATTTTTTAATAACATTTGTGTTTTGTTCTGTAACTGGAATGACGCTTCAGAGTGGCTTTTGCATTAATCTCAAAACTAAATGAGCCAGATCCTGCCTTTAGGATTATGATCTGAGAATGCATAACACACAAAGGGAGGGGAGGAAAAGGAAACAAGGAAACCTAAGGAGAAAAGTTAGGGTTGGGAGTTCCTTCAGCCTTCCCTGTTCCTGAGCCTTTGGTGTGAAGCTATCTGAACAGCTTCCTCAAGATGCACATTTTATGGCATGCAGTGTTGGTTGTGATAAGGCAAACTTGTGAATCTGTGCCACTTGCAATTCACTGATGCTAACTCAGTTGTCCATTGTGTTTTGTCTTTTACCAAATGTCTCATATTTATGTGGGCCCACTGCTGGATAGCTCAGTGGGTTAGATCTCCAGCTACAGAACCAGAAGTTGGGAGTTCAGTTCCCTACTGTGCCTCCTTGAGAGAGTCCGGCTTTGGTGATCCATAGGGTCCCTTCCATCTCTGTAGTACAGTTATTGTTGCTGTTGTTAAAAAATGCCAGGCACAGTCAATCAATAAAACTTTGGCTGGTATTATATAAGAGATGCAAGATTTAACCAAAAACCTAAATATCTGTTAAATACCAGCACACTATGTATGCTGTTCCTAATATTGCTATTTTTTTTGTAGCTTTGATATTGTTTTTTCTGATACCTGCAACTGCTTATAGTATGCATGAAATTTCTTGATATTGTTCCTAAAGCCCTGATGACTAATAATAATAAAAATACAGTGGTGGCTCGCTTAGCGATGTTAATCCATGCAGGAAAAAATGTTGCTAAGTGATTTCATCGCTAAACGGAATTAAAAAGCCCATAGAAACACATTAAAACGCCACTAATGCGTTCCTATGGGCTTCAAAACTAACCTTAAAGTGAAGATCCTCCATGGGGCGGCCATTTTCAGTGCCTCTAAAGCGAGGACACACAGCAGGCGGCCATTTTGTTTACCCAGCAGCCATTTTGAAACCGCCAATCAGCTGGCCGAAAATGGGGGCTTTGCGATGATCGCTTCCCTGCGATTGTCGCAAAGCGAATTTTCCCTACAGGGACCATTGCTAAGCGATTGCTTTTGCGGTCGCTTAAACTCCATCGCTAAGCGATTTCATTGGTCAACGGAGCAATCGCTAAGCGAGGCACTACTGTAATGATGATGATGATGATGATGATTGAGATGTGCAGACACAATCTCCACATGGGCCCCTCCAGCACATGGAAGAACCAAGAGGTTAATTCAGCTTCTTATGAGCTATATTTGGCATTATGGGTCAAGGCTTGGTATGCCTTACTACTGTTTCGAGTCCTTTGAAGACATCGAAACTGTTAGGGTTATTTATGGTGGATTTTAACTTCAATGAAGCTTTAGCATGAATAGATGTCTTCTGTTTGGATAGGTGTTTAGTTGTTCAGACATCTTTTAAAATTGCAGTCTATTGTTCCTCATTACTGTAGCAGCAAATTTCCTGTTTGGCTGTGATCTTAAACTTGCTTATTGAGAATAAGTCCTATTGAACTCAGTGGGGCTCATTTTTTTAGTAGGTCTAGGATTTCACTGTCCATAAGTGAGCAAAGAATTACGTTTGGTTCAGTGCTGATGTCTTTACACAGGGACTCCTGATAGTTCCAGTTCTGGACTGGAGGCTGATGTGGATGTCAAAAAAGAGACATTGCAGAGCACAGAACAGAATCCCACCCTTGTGCCCAGTGATAGCACATTGCACGAGCTATCCAATCTTCGCTTAGAGAATCAACTTCTGCGGAATGAAGTGCAGTCTTTAAATCAAGAAATGGCTTCATTAATCCAGCGAGCCAAAGAGACCCAAACAGGTGAGATTTTTCCTTTTCTTTCTTTCTTTTTCTCCTCCTTTTCTCTCTCTGTCATCCCATTTTCTTTCTCCTTTCCACTTTTTATTTATTTATTTATTATTTGAATTTACATCCCGTACCATCTGGCAGCCAGGCCACTCTGGGCGGCTAGCAACAATATAAGGGGGGAAAAAATTAAAAACACAATAAAAATAAATTTGTTGTTGTTGTTTAGTCATTTAGTCATGTCTGACTCTTCATGACCAGGCCTTCCTGTCTTCCGCTGCCTCCCGGAGTTAACAAATAAGGAAATTAAAACAGATGGCAGTAAATGTGATAAAAAGAGTGATGGAGAGGATGGTAAAAAGGAAGGGCAAGATCCTTGTACTCCGGGAAAGCCTGGCAGAAGAACCAGGTCTTCAATGCTCTTTTGAATCCATCCAGCAATGTTTCTCTATCATTCTATGGGGAAAGAACAGATTCTTCTTGCAAAGATCTAACTGAGACCTTAGTGAGATTTATATGAAATCAGGCTGAAGGTTACCTGTAAGCTCAAGAGTTGACCTGGATTCAGGTACTGCTGTACTCGAGACTTTAGAAGTCATGATTAATACTAGCTGTGATTGGTCTTATAACCATGTTAGGAAGACAGGGTTTGAAAAAAGTTTGTAAACTCTGCTCTAAAAATTTTTGTTAGTGTTTATGATGGGTTACTACAGTATCAGTCAAGCACAGTGCTCAAAATAAACAGTGGATGGAAGGGAGGAATCCATGCAATGATGAGAAGAAAAAGTGATGTAAGTTCATGTAACATGCCTATTCCAACCTCTGCCTATGTTGGCTAGGCTATTTGGAACTTGTGGTCCAGAAAAATACTGTTCCTGTGCTCTGGTTTGAGAATTGGGGGCATTATATTTGCAGTGCATCAGCATAAACTGATTTCCTTGTATAGTGGTGCCTCGCTTAACAACGTTAATTTGTTCCAGCGAAATTGCTGTAGAGCGAAAAGTCATAAAACGAAAATAAAAAACCCATTAAAACCCGGTTAATGCATTCCAATGGGCTAAAAACTCCCCGTCCAGCGAAGATCCTCCGTACGGCGGCCATTTTTGGTGCCTGTATAGCAAGGCATCCATCCCTAAGCACAGCGGGGAGCCATTTTGAGCACCCGGTGGCCATTTTGAAAACCTGATGATCAGCTGTTTTGATCATCGTAATGCGAAGAATCGGTTCCTGAAGCAGGGAACTGATCTTCGCAAAGCAAAAAAAATCATCGTGAAGCGGATTCGTCGTAATGCGGAGTAATTGTTAAGCGTGGCACGACTGTATTCTGATTCCTAATTGCTTTCAGAATCATGTTGCTCACATAAGAAATGTGGTTTTAGATAGATACGCCACTCACAGGCTCAGTCATGCTAACATTTGTTGACCTACACGTTGCAGAATTAAATAATGCCCGGGCAAGAGTTGAGAAGTGGAACGTTGAGAATTCACACAATGACAGGCTGGTTCGGGAGCTTCGAGCTCAAGTTGATGATCTGACAGAAGCGGCTGCTGCCAAAGATTCTCAGTTGGCTGTCTTGAAAGTGCGATTACAGGAAGCAGACCAGCTTCTGAATTCACGCAGTAAGGCATTGGAAGCACTGCAGAACGAAAAATCACGGTATTTGAAGTCATTGTCGCTCTTTTGTAGTTGGAAGGATTGGTTTTTTTAGACTTGTTTTCTCTGTTGTGCCCATTTTTGTTTCTAGACTTTTTATGTGTCTATATAATCAGATTTCGTCAATGGTCAGCTCGCTCCAACCAGCCATCTCTGACTTTGTAGGAGATCCCTCATGGCACCGGCCATGTTGACTGGGGATCCTTGAGTTGTAGTTTAAGAAAGAACTTTTTAAAGCTCTTGGAAGATTTGATTTAAATGATGCACTGGTAATTTAGGAGCTGTTGCTTTTATAGTTTCTCCCTTTTAGTTTGGGTAATTTTTGAGGTTTTGAAAGGGAGCGAACAACAGATGCCCAATCTGGCAGCTGATGATTTTGAACCATAGAAGCTCTTAAGCTGTATCGATGAAACTCTTAGTCAGGCTGTTTTGATGGGAGAGCCATCCCAAACCATAGATATCATTTCAGTTGGACCTAATTTTCTTCTCAATCTGGAACATTTCTTGTATCTTCCAAAAGCCTATCGGCTGGAATGCTGGAATCCAGACCCTTCTCCATTCTCTGGATTATATAATTTTGGGGTGGCTTTCATTTTTTTCAACTCTCTGAGTTCTAAGAAGGAGCTTGTAATGCAGTGTAAAGAATTGTTCCCCCGGAAGCACAACATAAGGGGGCCCCTGCTTATATTGTCCTGCTTTTCTTTGGGTGTTCTAGCTGGCTGGTTAGCTCAGAGAGTTAGGTATCTGGCTGCCGAGCCAGAGGCTGGGGGTTCGCTTCCCCACTGTGCCTCCCAAGTGGAGCCATCCTGTGTTGCCTTAGGCAAGCCGGACAGCCCCAGGATGCCCCCTGAAAAAGGGAGTGCTAAACCATTTCTTAGTATTCTGTACCTAGAAAACCGTGGAAGGGTTTGCCATCAGTCAGAATTGATTTGATGGAATGTAATTATTTTTATTTTCACATTTCTAATTACTGAATCCGTTAGATTAGCCTACAATCACCGAGTGAGCTTCATGGACAAGAAAAGGTGTGAATTCAGATCCCTTTTCCTAGGCACTAAGCTTTCTCTCTCACACACTCTCTCTCACTCTCTCTCTCACTCTCACTCTCTCTCTCTCTCTCTCTCTCTCTCTCTCTCTCTCTCTCTCTCTCACACACACACACACACACACACACACACACACAAATCCCCCAAAGTTAACCCTCCTAGAAGAGCAAAATCTCCATCTTTCCACAAACCAACCAACCAATGAAATAGGAAGTGGATGTCCAGCCACATCTTGTTCTGATTTTTTCTATGAGTAAAACAGCCTGTGGATGGGCAGTTTCTTTCATAGTTACATACACAGAGACACATACACTCCTACCTTTACTTAACACGGAAAAAAGCAAGTGAGGGGAGGATGGGGGGAAACAGGGATCCTGGACAGAGTCCAGAAACCAAAATGGGCTGGGTATAGAAGGTTTCTGCACCATTGCATGGGTTGTATTTTGGAAAGAAAGGATATGTCTCATTCTGCTTCAGTAACTCTTTACTTCTTGCCTGCCTAGAATAATTCAGGATAACAGTGAAGGGAACAGTTTGCACAATCAAGCTCTCCAGATGCTTCAGGAAAGGCTGCACGATGCAGAGTCTGCACTTAGAAGGGAGCAAGAAGGCTACAAACAGATGCAGGTTAGAACGGCCAATTTCAGAGTTCCTTGCACTGACTGAGGGACGGCACTATAGCAGGGGTAGACATTCTTGGGAGGTGAAGGGTCTACTTTGTTTTTTCCCTGGAATTCCAAGGTCTTCTAACGAGTACGAAAAGCAAATGCTTGAAATCAAAGGGAAGGGTTCTCATAAGCCAATTGAACTTCTTTTTAGTCCTAGAAATAAACTGGGTTCACGGTCCAGAGGTCCACTCCTGGCTACCCCAAGCTTTGTATATTAAAGCAGCTTAATTTGAGGAGGAAAAACCTCTGTGTTGTTGCTGCTCTTCAACTGTTGGGCACAGAACATAGAAAATTCAGTGTTCTCACTCTCACACTAGCTTGAAATCATTAAGGAGAATTAATTGTTAAGGTCAGAAAGATTAAGAAAGATGACAGACTTAATTTATTATTCAAAATGTCAAACTTGAACAAATGATTTTAAATGTCCAGTAGTGAAATACAGCATTGATAGCAGTTGTTACCTAAAGTTGATCTTGCACATTTGAACAAATTAGGTAAAGGTAAAGGTTCCCCTTGACATTTAGTCCAGTCATGTCCAACTCTAAGGTGTGGTGCTCATACCCGTTTCCAAGCCATAGAGCCAGTATTTGTCCGAAGACCGTTTCTGTGCTCACGTGGCCAGTGCGACTTAGACACGGAACGCTGTTACCTTCCCACCGAGGTGGTCCCTGTTGATCTACTTGCATTTGCTTGCTTTCAAATGGCTAGGTTGGCAGGAGCTGGGACAAGCGACGGGAGCTCACTCCGTCGGGTGGATTCGATCTTACGACTGCTGGTCTTCTGATCTTGCAGCACAGAGGCTTCTGCGGTTTAACCTGCAGCACCACCACGTCCCACTTGGTTGAACAAATTAGGAGGAAATTAATATGAACCCACATTGTTTCTGATTTTTTGTTGGGAGTCAGAAACTTTTGCGGATGAGATTGGTGCGTTCAGACAAGAGGGTGCCACATAACCTCCCTTCCTCTGCCTGTGTATAAGTTAGTGTATGTGGAGAGAAGCTCGCCTTGCTCATCCATCTGTAGGCACATAGGCTTTCTATGCAGTTGAGGGCACGGCACTGGGGCAACGTTCCTGGAGTCAGCATGCATACTTGAAATGGCATGCTCAGGAGGAATCGTTTTAAAATAGTTCCACACTCAAGTTATCAAGGTTTTGCCTTCTATGTGACAGTGCCTTTTGTGAAGGAACATCCTTTTTTTTAAAAAAAAAATATTTTAAAAAAAGAAGACGCTAGAAGTATAACTGATTGTTCAAAGGGGATAAATAGAGCAAACATTGGTTCCATTCCCATACACGGGTATACACAGAACTGGGCCAACCTGCCCCATTCTCCATGTTGATGGACTGTTGTGTCAAACCTTACATGTTAAGCCCCTGTTGGGGTGTGTGTCTGTGAAATGTCTAGTGAAGGTGAACAGTGTAATTCTGCTCGCCCCATACCCTGCGGCATACATTCCAGGCATTAGCGTAGTGCCTTATTGGGAAACAAGATCAAGCAGGGAAGTGTTGCAGCACAAATGTTAATTTAAATTGGACCATTTGATATCTTTTTTGAAATTCTAGTCTTTTAATTCTTATTTAATATTATACAATTTCTCTGTTTTTATATTCATGTCACATTATGCTTATGCTAGTTGCCCTTTCCCACCTTTTTGGGTGTCTCAACTTTCTAATAAAAAAAATGGATTTGCTCTATGCAGAATGAGTTTGCTGCTCGTCTGAGTAAAATGGAAGCGGAACGTCAGAATTTGGCTGAAGCTGTAACTGCAGCTGAAAGAAAGTTGGCGGAAGAGAAGCGGAAGGCAGATGAATTTCAGCAGCAAGTTAAAACAGCCAAAGCTGGTTTGGAGTCTGCCAAGCAGGAGTTGGTTGACTACAAACAAAAAGCTACACGGATCCTCCAGGTAAAGCTGTTTTCTCCAAATCCATACAATAGAATTCAGGCCTCATGAGAGAGTGTGTGTGAAACCAAGAATGAGACCAGGTAATAGTGATGCCAATTCATCTTATGTAAACATAATAGCTCTGTCCACACTGAGGTTGGAAACACGACATTTTCGAACTTAGAGTTCCTAGAATTTTCTATTCAATATAGGATTCTGGAAGTTGTAGTCTAAAAATTTTAATAACTCTGGTCCACACATAATGTGAGAAGTATCATTAGCCTGTGGCCAGAAGGCTGGGGGGTGGGGGCAAGGGCGGGCGCAGCCAGGCAGACATTTAGGTAGAAATGGGAGACAACACTCCAGTGAGGTCAGAGCAGACTTCCTTTCATTTTTGCATCCCTTCTTTCATTTTTATCCCACTTCTTTCCTGAAACGGGATCTGAGGCAGCTTCATGGCCACAGAGCGCTAACTGACCGTATGGACGTGGGTGAAGTCTGGTGAAGCAGGGGTGGAACGGAGTGGATAGCTAGTATCCGGAACAGGGAATTCTTTATGGGGCAACATTTAATTTTAGCCCTCATTTGCAGCAAAAGAGTTGCAGGGATAAGGTTAAATTCTGTTTCCCTTTACCTTGTCCATCATGGCCACTGGTGAGAGATTATAGAAGCTGTAGTCCAACAATACCTGGATTGTTACCCATCACTATGTCAAACTATTAACCATGCAAGCTAAGTATGCAAAAGGAATCTCCATGTACCAAGATAGTGCATCTCTTAAATACCAGATATTTGTTGCAGAGTTTTGAATTTTTGGTTAAATCCCTATAGCCACACAGCAGAAGTGCAGGGACTCGCAGAGCAGAATAGCTTCAGGTTTTCCACAGTAGTCCAACCCTTTTTCTCATTAACTGGCACTTACAGTCTCAGCCTCACTCAGAGACATAAGTAGGAGAAAGAATAAAAGTTTTAATCTACTTACAGTTGAACAGATCAACAGCAAACTGAACAAACATGGCTGGCTGATTTTCAGCAACAGGCCTCAGCAGACTCCTAACTGCCAGCGGACAACACAGGGAGAAAAAAGCCACAGAGCAGAGAGGTGGGGCTTCCTTTGAAATCAGAGACAGAGAAGGAATCATTGGTTGCTCTTAGACTGATGGACAGTCATCCCAGCTCATAAAGGTCCCTCCCAGCCAAACCTACTAAAGGCAGCTTGTGAAGTTGCAAAAATGGTCCAATAATATTGGCAAATAACAAGGGATAGCTGTTATTTTAAACCCTCCTTATGACCAAGATATTGTTAGATTCAGAATGAACCTTTGTAACATAAATATGTGATCAATTGTATGTCATCAAGCACAGGTAGATTCTGGTGATTCTTTTGAACAGCCTGTACTTATTTGTTTAAACCTCAGTCCAAAGAAAAGTTGATAAACAGTTTGAAAGAAGGCTCTGGGATTGAAGGCCTGGACAGCCAAACAGCAAGCCTTATGGAGTTGGAAGAACTGAGACACGAGCGGGACATGCAGAAGGAAGAGATGCAGAAGCTACGGGGGCAAATACAGCAACTGAGAACAGAACTGCAGGTATTATCCTGAACCATGAATCGAGAGTAAAGAACTCCCCAGTATTTGTCATTGCACAAAAGCAGATACCAGTTCTGCTTTAGTTCCTTTTTGGGTTTTTTTTGATTGATGTAAATCAGGTTGGAGTGGAAAACTAACCTAATATGATACAGTGGTTCAGATGTCAGGTCATAACTAGACTTCAGAAAGACTTCAGATTCTTGTCCATCATAAAGTTCAAAAGGTACTCCTAATCAAATGCCCTCAACCCTAACTAGTTCAGAGTTGTGTGAAGTGAAAGATAGGGTAAGCGCATACACTCTGCCCTCCGGTGTTCTGAAGAAATATCTGAGAAGTTTGATCAGCAAAACTCCCTTCAGTATAATGCTTTCCTGTGGTCCTTCCCTTCATTGTGGAGCTACCTTCACTATGGCACTTCTCTTCTCTGTGGTGCCACCCTTCACTATCTGTCTTCCTCTCAGCTCAGCTGGATCAGGGCCAACCCTGGTCCAGATGAGATCAGTGGCTGTTAATCACGATGACCTGCGGTTTCCCTTAGAGCGCCAGTGGTTGGGGAACACAGGTAGCTTCTTGTGGGATTTCCATGCTGCTTTGACAGGCCACTGTGGGGAAAACGATGCTGATACTAGGTAGGCCTCTGGCCTGAAGTAGTGCGGCTCTTTGTATATTCTTCAGGTTGCGCTCTCTCCTTTTGGCCCCAATGTCTCTTTTTCCAATGTCATGCTTCCGTAAGAGAGAGAGAGAGAGAAAGAAACAGAGAAGATGTCTCTGTTTCCAATGCCATGCTTCCATGTGAAAGAGAAAGAAAGAAACAGAGAGCCTGTTCTGAATTGTGAGGATATGTGGCAGAGTGGGGCCAACAATAGCTGTCAGGATGGTTTGACAGTGAGACAAAGGCACAAACTCAGCATGCCTGTTCTGAGTTGTAAGGAAATGTGGCAGAGTGGGGCCACCGATAGCTGTCAGGGTGGTTTAACAGTGAGACAAAGGCACAAACTCAGCATGACAGAAGGGGTTCATCAGGCAGTGACTCTTGTTTTATAACTTTCTGATGTAACATCCCCAGAAAAGCTTGAATGGGAAGGCACATCCAACCCATCAAGACAGACCAAAGATATTTTAATGCCTAAAATGAAGGACAGGATGGCACCCTTCCATACCATGTACAATATTCTGTTAAATCTCCCTTCAGTAGTAGCAAAAGGACAGAGTCTCCATTGTACCTGAAGGCTGCAGGGTAGGCTGCAGGATCTGTGAAAAATAGCAAGGTACTATCTGTGGGGTGTGTGTGTGTGGTTCTTAAGACTGATCTGTGAAAAATAGCAAGGTACTACAGTATTTGTGGGGTGTGTGTGTGTGGTTCTTAAGACATACAGACAGATTGTATTCTTTGAATATCAGCTGTCTGAGGCCACTGCCTAATTCTGCTTAATTGTAAGGTTGGTCTTGTGACTGGTGCATATTCCCCAGCAAATTTTCTTCTAGGTGTTACAAAAATCTGCCAGCCTAGGATGTACGTAAAAAACTTGTTTACAAGGTGGAGCAGAAATTCTTTGGATGGAGGATCAGGATCATATGGGGAAACAAGACCTCTTGCTGTTTTTTTGTTTAATAGAAGAATTGCTATTTACACAATGGCATAAAATTGTACAATAACATTCCATTTTTTGTAGGACGCAGAAGCACAGCAGATAAGTGAAGCTGAGTCCACCAGAGAACAAATTCAAGATTTGCAGGATCAAATTTCAGCACAAAAAACAGCCAAGCAAGAAGTGGAGGCTGAGCTAGAAAGACAGAAGCAGGTAACATCTAGAGAGCTAATTCTATCTGCCCCCCCCCACAACATTTTAAAACTATTACTGCTTTTTACCACCTTGAAAACTTTTAGTTTTTTAAAAAAGCAGATATGGGGCAGTAAAATTTTATAAATTTGACATGCTCTGTACTGATTGCATCTTTATAAATTGCAGTTTTACAGTGCAATCTTAAGTATGTTTACTCAGAAGCAAGTAAGCATCACCCCCCTACCCCCTGAGTCTCTTAGGATTTGCTTTTTTTGTGAATATCTTTAGGGTTGCAGTCTTCCGATGCTGTTTGTTTTGGCTAAGTTTTAGATATTGCTTTATATTTGTATAGTTTGCTTGCCACTTCAAGCATTCTCAAAAGAAATTTGAGATAGAAATGATGAAAATTAAATGCTTGAATCACGTAAAGGCATCAGATGCCAAGCGGAGACATGAGTTATAAAGGGAAGTACGAGTGGGAACTTGATTCTACACAGAGCTGTAAGTTTTTCCATTTCAAGTTTAGAGTAGTTGGTGACTGACCTATCCCTTTTTTGACCAGAGTAAGTGATGGGAAAGGGCACATAATATGGGGTTCTCTTCAAATAACTATTGGACATGTCTCACAGCTGCAGATCGTTAGTGGTCTCCTCCACCAGATTTTGATATTGGCATACTGATTTAAAATAATGGTTTTTACTTCTGGAGTCCTCCAGGAAGTGTCTTTTTTCCCCTATTCCTTTTGGTCTAAGTAAGTTGGGAGGCCCTCCAAGTTTTCCACAAAATGCACATCAAACCACAGCTTCTAGCTTTTTGTAGTTTTAGTCATTTCTAGGCCTGGCACAGCTGCTCCTAGTGCTGGGGATAAAAATTTGGCCTCTACTTCTTAAATAAATTAAGATGATGTTCTTCTGTGATGAATAATGTTAGCTGTATTTGTCCTGTAGGTAGACAAGTAGGATGACCATTATTAGAGGTCAAATGCTCATACTTGAGGGGAAATGGCAGAACATTTCCTGCATACTGTGGTGCATGAACTTCTAGTAAGGTCACCGAGGAGCCCTAATTTTTTTTCTTTTTGAGATGGTTGTAATTTGCAACCCTATCCTCTGTTGGAGTGGATTGTTTTTCCTGTATCTCATCTTTTTTTTTATCATGAATAGTTACTGTGAGATGATGCTGAAGCTATGGGAGAAAAAACATTTAATTTCATTTACCTGACGGGAACTTGTTATCTTGCAGGATTACCTGTCCCTTCAGAAATTCCATATTTATTTGATAATACCAGGCTGAACTAATGAAAAGGCAAAAGATCGACATTTGCTCTCAAAATATAGTTAGTTAACATGAATTATGAAGATTTATGGAAGTGTTCTATTACAGTTGTCCCCTTGATGCATAGCGAATATTCAACACTACCTTTGGCTCAGCGGTGGAAATATTATTAAATACTATCCAAACCCTTTGAATGGGTTTGTGTTGACACATAAATCTTGGCTCTTATTTACTTGACTCTTCTTGGCTGTTCAGGTGCTACAACTTGGTTTTAAATGGTATGATCATTATGTATGAATTCTGGCAACTGTGTGTCCCCTCTGCAGTTCCAGCCCAAGACATTTTGCTGCCTGGGGCCAATAGCAGGATTGCACCCCTCTCCTCATTCCATAAATAGAAACTGACCACAATGCCAATTTAATCTTAGCTTCAATATTGATGATGTGGCAGCATCCTTCCTTGCTTTGGGGACAGGAGTCATGTTTTAAAGGATGAAGACAAGCTAAACTGACACCGCCAGCTCTGTACTCCAAGAGAGGGGGATGGAGGAACAACAAAGGGAGGTCCATTGCTGCCTTCCAGTACCTGCCACCTGAGGTTGTTGCTTCACTTTGTCTACTGTTAGGGCTGGCTCTGACCTAGTCCATTCGAAAACAAACAAGCAGCTCTTGATCCATTCATTGCACTTAGTGGAGGCACCAACAAAGGGAGATTCATTGCTGCCCTCCAGTACTTGCCACCTGAGATCGTTGCTTCACTTTGTCTAATGTTAGGGCTGGCCCTGACCTAGTCCATTCGAAAACAAAAACAAGCAGCTCTTGATCCATTCATTGCACTTAGTGGAGGCACCTGTTCTTGTCAGATGGCAAGACTGTTCTACTTTAGCTCGGTTTTCTAGCCCTCATGGCTGTGGAAACATGTTTTGTTATATGACTGAAATATCCCTTGAAGCAGGGGTTGGAAACCCACGGTGTTCCTGAAAGTTTTTAGACTGCAGTTCTCATGATCTGAGTGCTAGCTATGCTGAAGAGGGCTGAGGAAAATTGTAGGCCAAAAACAGCAAAAGGACAACAGTTCTGTTCTAAAGTATGGGATTCTAGGTGTAGACACGGAAGATTCATAAGCCGAGCCTCTCACAGGTACCTTTTGATTCCTTACTTAGGAGCCATTTGTTGTGAAGCTAAAAATCATTTGCGTGAGGCTGATGGCAACTGCTGCTATCACTACGATGTATTACTGCTGCTTTTATTGATTGCGAGGAGTGACTAGGAAGTTAGCTTCTGGTGTTACTTCATAAGAAGTGGTGTTGGCTTGTCCAGCTATTCTCTTTGAGCTACAGTGGTTGTTTTATTGCACCAGTGGTGTAAAAGTGTCTTCATGCAAGAGGAGTCTCTCTTTCCCTCCGAAAGCTCTTCGCTCATTTAAATTACTAGAGAGATGTTCTGGATCACCAGTGCTGGTTCTTGCGAAACTGGTGGGTAGCTGAGAGCCAGCGTGGGGAAGAAGCACCCAATACAACTGGCCTTTAAAGTTCCACAGCATAAACGCCAGTGGAACACGATGGCAGCAACTTTGTGTGTTTTGCTTAACCCTTTTCCACATGGATAAAAGAGTACAACTCTTCTGTTTCTTACTTCATGAAGTTCTGTTTCTTACTTCAAGAAGTTCACAGGACTTTTTTGGGTGGAGGGAGGGAAGGGCATTTGGCATGTTACATTGACTTGGCACCCCAGTGAAAAAAGCATGTATTTTTGCCCAGCTGGTTTTTTGTCTGTATTTTTTAAAAGAAAAAAAAAACTGTGTTTACAGTTTTCAGGGATGGTGCCATAGAATACCTATCTTGCCAGTGTGGATTTTGCAACAGTGGCTGAAATCCTGTTGTGCTGCTAGGCAAAAGTCATAACCTTTGAAAGCAAATTGCCTCAAGTTAAGAAATCTGCAGAGATATTATTTGTTGTGTACTGAATTATACAACTCTGCACACAATGTATAATGTCTACAGAGATTCCTTAATTTGAAGCAGTTCGCCTCCACAAGGTACGCCTTTTATGTACCAGTGTGACAGGATTTCAGCCAATATGTGACTGCACTCAAATGTCTATGTGCCTGAAGGATGTATTTGATAGCGGTATTTGATAGAATAATCACTTCTGGCTACTTTTTTTTCAGGAGCTTCGCTATACTGAAGAAGAACTTTACCGAACCAAAAGTACACTACAGAGCCGAATATCGGACAGAGAGGAGGAAATTCAGAAACTGAGAAACCAAGTAAGTAATAAAGTTTGTAATAGATGTAGTTCATCATTATTCCAGTGAGTGTAATTACTCAATATTCCATTAAGTGGTGAGCAGTGCAAAGTTTGTTGAGAGAACATGTAAAGGCCTGGGTGAATGGTCAGACTTTAACTTGGCATTGAAATAAAAGCAGTGACATTGATGCCATTTGGAAGTCATTCAGCAGCTGGGACCTTACATACGAGAAAGTCCTCCTGTGTCTCCCTGTAGTTTATGGATCCTACCTGCAAGGTTGTATGTAGAAAGCACTCCCTCAAACAAGTGCCTAGGGCCCAAGCCATCTAGGGCTATGGAAATTATTAATAACATATTGTGCTGGACCTAGGCAGCAAGAAGTGCAGTTTTATTAGATAAATATAGAGTCATAGGGCATCATAAGGTTACTATACGGCTTTTTACTATATCCAAGAATCTCCCCAATTTCTGGCCAGCTTTCCTGGCAAGAACAAAATATCACCAACTTCAACAATTCCTCTTCCTCAGCTTTCATGTAGGAGAGGCCTGGCAGTGGAAAGAAATGTAACCAGTTGGGATCTGCTGCCTAACATCCCTGCAACCCCCTAACGGCTGCTAGATCAAGACAACTAAATATTACCATACCGTATTTTAAAATCCAGCATACTACATATTAAAACCATTACATGAAAACCATTGGAAACGATCGAAAAGCACATTTAAAAAAGTAGAAAGTACAACTTCCCTCATTAAAGCCCCTTATTGGGCCACAGTTTATTTACCTAGCCTCATCAGACAAAGAGTTGCATATTCATCAAAAATATCTTCGCTCATGTTCTCAGCAGGTGTGCTGGGTAGAACTGTAGTGGGACAGCCCCCCCCCCCAAAAAAAGGGCCACTCACTTAAAGATCTTAAAGTGCAGGGATTCCCATATGGGATAATTTCAGACGTATATATTCCAGCATCCTTAGCTGCCTTCAACACCAGTGCAGTGCAGTCATGCCTCTTCATCTTTTCCCATCCTACTGCTGCCATAGTCGGTCCTTTGCTTACTATAATTAAGGAGGAGATGGAGAGACCATCGCAGTTAGTTGCCCACAGTGAGTTCCAGCCCTACCTACCATTTTGGTTGTCCAGGGCCAAGATGCCTCTTAGGTTAACATGTCCATTGTTTCTTTGCATAGTACCCCTCCTTGCAGGCTTTGGCCCTGCATGGCTGCTCTTCCTCTTACATTCATTCCTGAGGAGGCGAGAATTACTATGGAACCTGTCTAGGTATTCCCTGCTCTCCTCCTTAGCTTCACAGATGGAAAGAAAACTGGCCACTTCTCATCCTTCCTTGAATGTATCTCCACACTTGCCAGGGTGACTGGACTGGATGTACAGTATTGAAGAATTCTTGATTACTACTTCTTTTAACATCTTTATTGAGCTGGGCAACATGTGGCCCATATTTCTGCTTTCAAGGCTACTCCAGAGGTTCCCGTTAAAAAAGATTAAAAACATTTTTGATCAGAAATCCCTGTTTCTGCATCTGGAGAAACTGTGGAGCTCGGTGTCATCAGTACGCTGATGATGCTCAGCTCTACATCTCCTTTCCACCTACCGCAGGAGATGCCATTTTGTGCCTTCAGCGTTGCCTGGAGACCGTACTGAAATGGATGCAGGAGAACGGGCTGAGGCTGAACCCGGACAAGACAGAGGTGCTGGGGTCCGCAGCTTGGGGATCCATCTGGACCCGGCGCTCACCAAACATGTGGCTTTCTGCTTTCAAGGCTACTCCAGAGGTTCCCGTTAAAAAAGATTAAAAACATTTTTGGTCAGAAAGCCCTGTTTCTGCATCTGGAGGCCTCCGGAAATGGCTGTTTTTATCTTAAAAGACCTTGAGAGCTTCCCCAAGGGCACCTCAGTCCAAAAACCAAAACTGGAAGTGCTCATCCAAGGTCCAGGTGCAGCTGTTGGGTCAAGAATTTGGTCCCCAGACCCACTAGGATAACCTCCTCCTTCTCTATGTGATTGCAAACAGGTATGTTTTCTTGTAGTAATCAGTTAGTATGCATGCCTGGCCAAGGAAACCTCTGAAATGTGCAATGGCAAAACGGATTTAAATCAGTCTCTGTTTTTGCGGTGGCCTAAATATCTTCTGTCGCCTTCCTTCTATTTGTTCTCCTTGTTTTTCAGCTGACAAACAAAACACTGAGTAGCAGTAGCCAGACAGAGTTGGAAAATCGACTGTATCAGTTGACTGAGACACTGATTCAGAAGCAGACCATGCTGGAGAATCTCAGCACAGAAAAGAACTCGTTAGTTTACCAACTTGAGCGACTGGAGCAGCAGCTAAAGAATGCCCAAGGACCTGCGGCAAACGGTCCTGCCATTAATATGGCTGGAATCGAAAGCAGTGAAGGTAAACAGGGATGCGGGTGCAATGTTGATCTATTAACTGAGGATGTGCATTTTACAAATAAATTAATGCATGGGTGGCTTTAAAAATTAAACAGAAGGAGCTCAACAGAAAAAGTTTTCCACCCACGAAGTACAGAAAAAGAGCACTGTGAGATGCGTTTTTCTGCTTCAGTTTGAGGAAATATATTGTCAGCATGTCTGAAACCTCCTACCCGATATTTAGAATAAAAGTTTCCTTCATTTTTCGAAAATATTTAGGTTAGAGAGAAAGTACCTCTTTTGCGTCATACTGTAAAGTCTTCTAAAACAGAATTATGTATGCTGAGAAACATATTCTCTTTTCTACTGAGTTGCAAGTGGATGCTTAGCAAAAGGCCACATACCATTGAATCACATTGAGATCAATGGGCCTTAAGTTAGCTAGGATGCACACACTCATTATGTTTCAGTGCAGCTACCCTAGATAGTACTGCAGTGTACTTTGAACAACACTGTTTTGGCATTGGGAAGATGAACGAAAATGGGCAATGCTTGCTGGAGTTTTGCTGTTATTATGGTCTTTGTGTCAGCAACACGTTCTTTAATACAAAGCTTCAACACAGAGTTTCCTGGAGACATCCAAGATCGAAGCATTGGCATCAGCTCGATTTGATCCTCACTAGACACTCTAGCCTTCCTAGCATTACAATCACACACAGTTATCAGGTGTTGATTGCGATACTGATCACTCCCTGGTGTGTAGTAGAGTAAAACTGCGAACAAAGAGATTGTATAACATGAAAAAGGAAGGAAGACCACATATTGACAGCAGCAAGACTTGTGATCAAAGAAAAGTGTAGAAATTTGCCCAAACACTTGGGGGAACCCTTCCATGCCCAGCTGATACAAATGCACCTGAACGATAGGAACATTTCAAGAACACTGTTTATAACGCCGCCTTGTCCACATTTGGCAAGAAAACCAAAAAGATGGCAGACTGGTTCGAAGCCCATTTGGAGGAGTTGATGCCAGCCATGGAGAAAAAGAGGAGAGCTCTAGCAGCATACAAAGCCTGTCCTAGTGAGTACAACTTACAGGTTCTTCAAGTTGCTTGTAGCAAAGTCCAACAGGCTGCCAGAGATGCTCCAACGATTATTGGCTTCAGCTCTGCTCTCAGATACAGACAGCAGCAGACACAGGTACCATAAAGGGAATATATGACGGTATCAAGCAGGCTTTAGGTCCAATACAGAAGAAATCTCCTCCTTTGAAGTCTGTTACAGGAGTGATCATCCAGGACCGAGCACAGCAGATGGAACGCTGGGTGCAGCACTACTCTGAGCTATATTCCAGAGAGAATGTAGTAACCGAAGAGGCATTAAATAACATTGAGTGCCTGCCTGTCTTGGAAGAG